AATATATATATATATATATATATATATATATATATATATATATATATATATATATATTAGAGTCCTTCCGAGTTAGAAAAAAAAAGAATTAAAGAGTAAACACATAGATTATCCCAAACCATAGGGACCATTAGCGTAATTCACTCTATCAAAGTTCATCCTTGTGATTTATTTCGTGGATGGAAGAGATTTGGTAGGATTAAAATGATTGCTTCTACTCTAATAAATGAAAATGAATATCTATTTTGCTACATATTAATCCCTCATGAGTTTTAACACTTGTCATTTTATAGTATTTTTGAAATAAATAATATTCAAATATGAATTTCTGATTTTTTCAATTTTTAAAATTAAAAACCACATAATACTTTTATATATATATATATATATATATATATATATATATATATATATATATAATATTAATTGTAATCAATGTGATAGTAAATTGCAATAAATACATTTTTTCCTTCCTTATTTCGAAATTTTATTTTAAAAAATTCTTAATATTAGATTTTAATATTTAATTTTTTTATCAACCCGTGTAATATACGGTTTCATACCTAGTTGTTTATAAGTATAAATGTTATTTATTACGTAACGAGATGTTATTAGTCAACTAAATATCATGAATGTTAATTCCATATCAAATAAAATATTGTTTATAAAAATATTATATGATATACATATATATGCCAGCGATGAAATGCAAGGATGAAAGCTTTGTCTGAGGTCAAAGCTGGCACTTGCTTTACATTTATAACCCCCCCTTCTCTCTCTCACTCACACATCTTCAATCTCTCTCTCTCTCTCCCCCTCTCCATAGTCTCATCTTCTCTGCAGATATGACGAATTTACGCAGTGAAGATTCTTAATGATTCATCACTACGTATCAACAACAAACATGGTTTCATCTCCCTCTCATTGCTGTATTGAAAAGAAGCACTGGTGGCTTACTAATAAAAAGGTACTTCAAATTCTTCATCCTATTGATAATGGACGATTTTGATCGATTTGTTCCTATGTATTCATTATGTGTTTTCGATGCGTTTTTAGATTGTTGATATGTATGTGAAAGATGCAAGATCATTGATTGCTTCTCAAGAACAGAGCAACATTGCGTCTGCTCTAAACTTGCTTGATGCTGCTCTTGCTTTATCACCGCGGTTTGAAATGGCTTTGGAGCTGAAAGCGACGGCTCTCCTTCATCTGAGAAGGTTCAAGGAAGTTGCAGATATGCTTCAGGACTACATACCCAGCCTTAGTCTGAAAATGGCCTCCGACGATTCATCCGTTTCGTCTTCATCATCTGACAACAACTCGCAACCGCTCTCCAGAGAACGAGTCAAGCTTTTGTCTGTGCCTACTCGCTCCGAGCAATCCTTCAAGTGCTTCTCTGTCTCCGACTTGAAGAAGAGGGTCATGGCTGGCATCGGCAAAAATCGCGATAAAGAAGGTCAATGGAGGTATACTCGTCTCTTCTTTGTGGCAATGTTAGCTTGAAATTGAACAACTTTTGTGTGTGGAATCTGTTTGTAGCGCGTTCTGATTGAGCCTGTCTTACGATTCAATTCAGGTACTTGGTTCTAGGTCAAGCATGTTGCCACCTAGGATTAATGGAGGATGCGATGGCACTTCTCCAGACCGGAAAACGCCTTGCCTCCGCCGCATTCCGCCGTGAAAGTGTCTGTTGGTCAGATGACAGTTTCACCTCGTCCGCCGTGACATTCACCTTCGGCAACCAGCCACAGACGCCTCCAAGGGCAGAATCGGAGAGTATCTGCAACCTAGTAAGTCACATCAAGCTCCTCCTGCGGCGGAAGACCGCAGCAATTGCCGCTGCGGAGGCCGGTCTTCACAGCGAAGCCATCAGGCACTTCTCGAAAATCGTTGATGGTCGACGCGGAGCCCCTCAGGGCTTCCTGGCGGAATGTTTCATGCACCGTGCCTCCGCTTACAGGTCATCGGGTCGAATAGCTGAGGCCATAGCGGATTGTAATCGGACGTTAGCGTTAGATCCTAGTTGTATCGAAGCCCTAAGCACAAGGGCTTCCCTTTTTGAAACCATCCGTTGTCTCCCTGATTCGCTTCACGACCTTGAACACCTGAAACTGCTTTACAATTCAATACTTCGTGATCGGAAATTACCGGGGCCGGCATGGAAGCGTCAAAATGTTGGATATGGAGAAATTCCCGGGAAGCTGTGTTCGATCGCAGTAAAAATCCAAGAACAGAAACAAAGGGTCGGTTCAGGAGAATTAGGGAACGTGGATTACTATGCTTTGATGGGATTGAGACGCGGTTGTTCCAGATCCGAATTGGAGAGAGCACATTTGTTGCTTACCCTACGACACAAACCAGATAAATCCACTAGTTTCATCGATAGGTGCCAGCTGGCAGACGAACGCGACATTGATTCCATAAAAGATCGGGCAAAAATGTCTGCTTTATTGTTGTTCAGATTGATTCAAAGAGGGTATACAAATCTGATGAGACTAGTTTTGGATGAAGAAGCCTCCGAGAAGCAAAGGAAGAAGAGCTGTGCAGCAAATGATGTTCAACTTCATCAGCAGCATTCAATATCATCGTCTAAACCAAAATCTGTTAATGTTAAAATGGTGAAGCGGAATCATCATCATCAAGTTGAAAACAAAAATAATGCGTTTCAAGGCGTGTTCTGTAGAGACCTTGCCGTGGTTGGCAATCTGTTGTCTCAAGCAGGGTTTAACCGTCCTATTCCCGTCAAATATGAGGCTTTAAGCTGTTAGATTTTAAATAAATCAAAAATGAATTTTGATGATCATAACAATTTACAAACAAGAATGACAGAGGATGAATGGTCGTGTACAAATGTGGGGGTGGGGGTTTTTGTGTTTCTGGTCATATGTTTTCCATTTCACCCCTCAATACTCCCTCTGTCTGCCTGTTTTTCTTTCCCATGTACAAAATTATATAATTTGAGTAGCCCAATTTACTACCACCGTAACCTATGTCAAATCTCATCTGTTAGCTTTTACAATTATTGGATGAGAGAGAGGAAATATTATTTGCGGGTCAGAATACATCAATCCAACCCAACCCATATTCGTATTTAGGTTGGCAAGTTACGAGTTGATGGGTTAGAAATATCAAGACAACCCAACCCACATTACATGTTTAGTTTTAAAGGTATGTGGGTTCACATGTAGATTTCACTGACAGCAGTTGTTTAGGGATAAAGCGACGAGTGGTGGTGGGCCGGTGGAGTGCAGGTGTACCGGCGGTTTGTGGGTTTGCGCCGTTGGTTTGGTGGTGTGGGACGTTAATGGGAGGTGGTACCAGTGGGTAAGGGGTGATGAGGTAGTAAGGTAAGGATAATGAATAGTTTGTGGTCTTTTTGAATAACAAGGAGTTAAGAATTTTGTTTTTGATGACGTATGGGACGTCGCAATGCACTCGTAAGTCATAATTTATAAATAAATATTTTTTAAAAAAATTATAATATATATTGACGGGTTGACCCACCAACCCGAACATATAACTGATATACCCTTCCTAATCAATTTGAATAAAAAGATTCACAAGAAGCAATCACTCTAGAAAGACAGTGAAAACCAAAAAATCGACATCAAATAGCTAACTTAATATTCGAAGATAAGACGCATTCGAGAGGGGGTAATCTCAACGTTCATAAGAGAACTTTCTATAAAAAATTGTCTAATGCCTTCGTTATACTACTAACCACTATACATGTTACCACTAAAAAAATGAAAAAAAGGAATAACAACATAACAGATCGAGATGCTATCCCAATTAACTTTGTCCCATTTTTAATAAATAAAACATGCAAAGTAAGTAAAAATTATTGAAGTACCCTTCACCACAACCATAGAAAACTAAGAGCAAATTAATCACACAAATGAGTAGCATGAATTAATATGAATTCTTGGGGCTTATCAAATACCAACGACCCAAACATTCACCTTGTCCTCATGGTGAATGAAAATAATGTATATCACCTTACATATATAACCTATTTGCTCTATTTTATCTGATGTGATGTGAGAGAAGTCTTTGTCTTAGATGACATATACTCCAAATAATATGCCATTGCGTTCATAGGGGTAGTAACATCAACAATGATACCCATAGTCTTCCCATTCTCCTCAAGAATCACCAACGAGGATAAATACTTCGAACCAGGCACCTCTCATAGTTTCTTTACTACCCTAACAACACACTTAAATTTGGGTAGGACTTCACCAAGTTTCTTCCTTATGAACTTGTTACACAAGGCTTCCTTTTCCAGTCCAAAATCGCCAATGACCTTTTTACATAATTTAGACACCCATCGACCTGAATGTCCTCTAATGGAACAATTGATGTATCATCTACCAAACACTTCCGGAGGTGAGAGACGTGGAAAGTGCTATGAATCTGATGAAAATCCTGTGGTAAATCCAACTGGTAGGCTTCATTGCCCACCCTGGCCACGACTCAAAATAGCCCGATGAATCTAGGGCCCAACTTGCTGGATATATGTGACCAAGAATCATCATTGAGTGATACTGCTAATAATATATGATCATATAGGGTCACACCTTTATGAAGTTGACATATTATATATATTTATTATTAATAAATAATATCAATTCTTGTATTTAATTAGGTAATAATTATTGTTTTGTGAAAATAATAATTAAAAGAGAGTATAACTAGTTATTATATCATATAATATGATTTAATAAGTCATGTACAAAGTTTTGTATACTTTGGTTAACCATGATCAAATTCGTGAGTTTGTATATCATGGTTAATAAACTAACAAACACATTTTGTCTCTTATGAGACCATACTCACACAACTTTTAAGAGGTAGGGAGGTTGCTTGTCAACCTCTATACCTTGTCTCCCATGCCTCTCTTTGTAGAGTATTTCTTTTGAATAAAATAAGAGGTAGCCTTTATGCATACATGAGATATATAAGAAAGTGTTCTACTCAAAAGTTTCTAATTTTTTAGTCTTAATACTCTCTCATTTTAGAAGAAGTCGTAGCCTCCTTCTTAGTCCCCTCCTATTTCTCTCTTGAAGCTAGTTTGGTGAATTAAAGCTTCATTGAGTCGTGTCATTTAGTACTTATTTGAGTTAAGTGCTTAAATGCTTAATACACTCAAGAATACAAGAAGGAACTAGAATTCCAAGTATCCTATCTTGATGGCAGATACTTGTAGAGAAAATCATAGACTTTGATTTTTCTATCTTCATTAACACCCCAAAACCAATTGGGTTCAAAGGCTCATTGCCAGTTTTTATGAAAAACTAACTTATATTTTATATTAAAACCCATCAGTGGTATCAGAGCCATTTTTATATGTTAGAATGATTTTTTATGTTTGATAATCTTTGGTTTTTAGAAAACAAGCATGAATTTCTTAATATCATTCTAACATCTATATGTTAGAATGTTGTCATTCTAAAACAATCTATGGTTGTTTTTAATATCATTCTAACATCTATAAATAGATCCTAAATGGTTTGGTTTTGTTATAAACTCAAAAATAAACTTGTAATTTTTAAAGCTTTCATTGCCAGATTTTATGAAAAACTAACTTATATTTTATATTAAAACCCATCAGTGGTATCAGAGCCATCTTTTATATATTAAGAATTATTTTTTATGTTTGATAATCTTTGGTTTTTAGAAAACAAGTATGAATTTCTTTTGGATCTAGAATAGTAACATCATTTGCAGAGGCAAACGCAAGATTCTGTAGTAGGTGTTACCGGTGGCACATTTTATAGTAGAAAAAAAAATTCGAAAAATTTACACTACATACAGAAAAAAGCAGTGGTTGCCGGTGCCACTGTGGGCACCCAAAGAGAACCGCCACTGATAATTTGGCATCATTTATAGGTAAAAAGCTCTAAACTTGATTAGGAGTTGTTTAGATCTTGTTTAGTTATGAAATTGTGTTCTTTTGATCCCATAAGCTTACTATTATGAGTATAGATTACTCTAATCCATATATGTTGTCCTTTCAGACGTTTTGGAGCATTTAGAAGAATAAAAATGTAATCTTGATTGTTAGTTTCTTTCCATGCATGAGTTAAAAGGTCTTAATGGGTTAAGTAGTTAGATTTTTTGATATTGGGCACTTAATGGCCATGCAAGACCATAAAGTTGGAAACTTTATGGTTAAGGACGTTATTTTAAGGCTAGATCTGGAATATGGGCAAAAGAGCTTAAGGATTAAGCTCTTAATAAGGAAGGAAAGAAGTCCCTCGCAAACGTTGCGCGTAGCCCAGGAACGATTAGCGTTCGAGGTCAAATCAGCCCGTTTTGGTCAATGCTCGTGTACGCAAAGCGTACAAGCTGAGTACGCTGAACATACTCAGCTGTGTTGACCAAGTTTAACTTTTGACTTTTTGACTTCGACTAAAATTTGACCAAGTTTGACCTAAGGGTATTTTGGTTATTTTGAGTTGTGTTTGAGATTTGTCACTATTTGATAAATAAGTGATGGGTAGAGCTGATATTCGGAGAAGAGACCTATTTAGCTACTTGTTCGGACTGATACGTGAGTTTTCCTCACTGTACTTATGGGTCGAAGGCACCAATGTCGGCCCATTAGGTTATGTATCTTGGTATACAGGATGTTGTTATGTTGTAGTGGTCTTTTAGATTTTTATCCTGATATGTAGGATGTTGCTATGTGGTAGTGATATGTAGATCTATCTGTTTATTTATTGCTGGATATATATTATTTGTTATGTATATGTCGTTATGGTATAGTGGGGTTGAGGCTGTACTGCTTTGTGCTGTCAGTCAACAGACCGGGGCATTCCAACCGAAAAGTTGTGTGCCGGGGCATTCCAACCGAGAGGTTGTACCCCAGGAGTTCTCCAACCAGGAGGTTGTGGACCCGTTATGTATTGGGCAAGCCAACCGAAAGGTTGTGGGCCGAGGCATTCCAACTGTAAGGTTTTGAGCCAGGGGTAATCCAATCAGGAGGTTGTGGACCCGATATCTTTTTGATTATATGTTGTATGGTGGTACTTTGGGGGAACTCACTAAGCTTTGGCTTACAGTTTTCAGTTTATTGTTTCTGGTACTTCAGATGACCATGGCAAGGCAAAGGCATGATCGTACACACCCTTTCTATTTTATATTATTTGGATTTTGGGATACTCTGATTACTGAAATACACTTTTGAAACAATGGTTTTGAAAACAATTATGGTATTGGGTTGTTTTTGAAAAGTTAAAATATATTGTGATTTTTTGGATGTTATAATACTCTTACGCCCATGTAAAACCTTTTCTATTGTTGTGTTTCAAGAGATAATAACATTTGATGGTTATAATTTATGTAACTGGTATAATACCTTGAGGTTCTTCGTTAAGGATAAATAGAATTTATATATAATGAAAGATCTCATTCCTGAACAACCTCTGCAAACCAGTTAGTCTGATCATGATAATTTGATGGAAGCATTATTGTGATGATATTGATATGTATCACATCATACTTGAGTAATTAACCTTGACTTGCAGAAAGTCTTGGATAATTATGAAACATAGCAGATGTCTCATCAAGTAAAGCAGATATTCGTTATGAACAGTAGAACCTGCTTCAAACTTGTTTAACCATTGAATAAAGTAAGTCTAAGATATTGTTGTTGGGTTTTAAGTACTATAACACTTCTATGGTGCACATACAACCCTAATAGCTTTGGATCTAAGTTTTCTCTAGTTATACATGCAACAAAAATTTCCAAAGCTTGAAACCTACAACTAGCATACAATATTGGTAATTGAAACATAAAAGTAAGTTAGAAGATTACCTCTTTGTTGTAGCTTGTAGGAATTGGTCTTTCAAGAGCCTAGCACCTCAAATGTGATGCCTCAAATGTCTTATAACAAACCAAGAACAAGAGGAGGAATTTGAGAGAGAAGTAAGGAGTCATAAAATCGGTTATGGTTCTGTTAG